ACTTAGAAAAAAAAATCATATTAAGTGAAGTAAGCCAGTTCCAAAGGAACATGGGCTCTATGGTTGCTTCCCTCATTTGTAATAATTAGTATATGTCTAGAAGAGGATCACAATATCTCAATAGCTATGTACATATGAGCATTTAAGATGATGCTAAGCAAAATGAATTCCAAGATATGGAAACAAGAGGTTTTTCTTAGTTGTTGTTGTTTTTAATGTACTAGGTGATTTCTTTTTTCTTTCTTTTTTTCCCCTACGTTTATCCCCTGTTGTCACTGTATTCAGTTTTGGTACCCTGTGTCTTGTATATACGTTTATCTGAATTAGGGAAGGGAAGGGGAACAACAAAGTGCCGAGACAAAGGACAAAGGGCGAACCGGTGGCCAATGCCACAGCAATACTCACAGAACACTATGTTGGAAATGAACTGTATAACTTGGGAGAAGCCACCCTCCTCCTCCCACCCCCTGCCCCACAACAAGAAAAGACAGTTCTCTCGGCAAGCAGACTGTCTTGCGGCAGAGGATTCCTGGGTGTATAATGAATACCTGTGGCAATGATAAGACTAGGTATCTGGCAGCATAGGAGCCTCCTGGCAGCCGCCAGAACCCATGTTGCCAGTTTTGAGCAAGCAGCTTCGTCATGCTGTGCAGAAGAATCTCAGAACTAGGTAACACATCCAGATCAGAGACGTCTACCCTGCATGCCGCAGCCTGAGGCCTGAGCTCCCTGCGGTGGGGCATTCCCACTGCATTGGTCATCTGTCCACGCAGCTGTCCACGCAGAGCAGAACAGCAACAAACCCATCGGAAATGCAGATGTGAGCACCAGCCCGTGCTTGCAGCAGAGGCTGCTCATCCTCTCGGGCTTTTCTGGGTTGCTGACACGTGCTTGATTATGCTTTTCTTTAGTGGGCCAAGCGCTTACCTGGTCCCAGCTTGGCCACGGCGTAGAGCAGGTCGTAGTTGAGGACCGGCGTGGCGTCGCTGATGGGCTGCCAGCCCACAGGCGGCGAGGAGGGTGGGGAGATGAGGAACTGTTTGGCAGGCTGCGGGGGTGCCAGATGTAGTTTGTCTCCATCTGCCTCCGGCGTCTGAACCTTCCAAACAGAGTGCACATGTGGCCCGTCATTGACGATGGCTTTGGATGTGCTAGGTGGGTGGACTAAGGTGTGGGGCTCTATTTCAGCTTGTGACAGATGCTCCAGATGTTAGTAGTAATTACTATGTATTACCCACCACGTGTGCTTGTCCTCTAGAAAATGGAGTTTGACCTTGGGCATGATGCAAGGTCACCTGGGGCCTTAGGAAAATATGCATTGTGGAGTCTGAGCCTGAGCTTCAGCCCAGCCCTTCCTAGCTTGTTCTGTCTTCCGTTACTTCTTTCTTCCTTTGTCTCTTTCTCCCTCCCTCCCTCCCTTCCTCCCTTCCTCCCTCCCTCTCTCTCTCTGCCTTTCCTTTCCTTCCTTCCTTCCTTCCTTCCTTCCTTCCTTTTTTCTTTCTCCCTCCCTCCCTATCTCCTTTTTCCTTCCTCCTTCCTTCCTTTCTCCTTCCTTCCTTCCTCCTTCCTTCCTCCCTTTCTTCCTTCCTCCCTCCCTCCCTTCCTTCCTTCCTTCCTCTCTTTCTTTCTTTCTCTTTCTTTCTCCTTCCCTCTCTCTTCTTTTATCTCTCTCTCTTCTTCCTTCCTCCCTCTCTCACTCCCTCCCTCTCTTCCTTTCCTTCTTTCTTTCTTCCTTCCTTCCTTTCTTTCTTTCTCATTCCCTCTCTCCTTTTTTATTTCTCTCTCTTGATCTCTTTCTCTCTCTCTCCTTCCTTCCTTCTTTCCTTCTTTCTTTCCTTCCTTCCTTCTTTCCTTCCTCCCTCCCTGCCCCTCCCTCCCTCCCTCCCTCCCTCCCTCCCTTCCTTCCTTCCTTCCTTCCTCCCTCCCTCCCTTCCTTCCTTCCTTCCTTCCTTCCTTCCATCCTTCCTTCCTTTTCTTCTTCTTTCCTCCTGGGTTTGAGCTCAGAGCCTTGGACTTACTGGCCAGCAGCTCTACCACTTGAGCCACAACAGTTTGTTTAGTCCTTGCAGCCATGGCATGGGCCGTGGGTCACTTTGGCCCCTGTTTTGCGGATGAGGAGCCCGAGCCGCAGTGAACTAGCCTGATTGTCCTGGTAAGAGCCGGTGGGACTCCCCGGCCTGCTCTCGGAGCCACAGGCTGCCCCTCTGACCTGGGTCTACTGCTCAGTTGGCAACAAACACAAGTGTCCTAAAGGGCTCCATTTACATTTTAGAAAGGAAAACAAGAAGACACGTGGGACAAATGCTGGGGTGAAGAATCTCCTTACCTGTGCGAAGTAGAGTTTCAATTTCTTCCCTCGGAACTGGGTTTCGTGCAGCTCTATCCTGGCCCGGGCGGCGGATTTAGGGTTGCTGAAGTTTATCCGGACACGCCGGAAGCTCTTAAAGAGCTGGAACGTCACGCAATCATCGTAAGTCCGGAACAGCCCCTCGAACTTTTCCTGATGAAAACAGAAGGAAATCTGCTGCCCACGGGTCTTGTAGGAGGCCAGATCTGGGAAATGCTGGGTAACATGCTTGAACAAAGTCAAAACAGAACACTGCTAACATGTTTTCTGCACCCGGTGTCTGGGGCCAGCTGCGAAGCAGGCCCGTGGGTGCAGGGGAAGGAGTCACAGCCTGGGCCAGGGCTCACCGGGCAGGGCTAATGAATAGGGCTCAGAGTACGTGGATGCTGTACAAATGTCCACTATTTCTGGGTATCTCATGTTCTTTTATTTTTTTCCCATCTGGAGAAGACTCATAGCAATCATCAGATTCTCAAAGGAGTTCATGAGTTCTAGAACACAGGGGTGTTGAATATGCACGCAGCAAACAGTATTCATGGCCCTCTGATGTGGCAGCCCTTTTCTTCACTAGAAATGAGGGGTTACCACCCCACCCCAAGTTCTGGTGGTCTGCAGAAGGCAGCCAAAGGCCCCGGCGTGATTTTCAGTGTCTTTCTCTGCAGAAGACAAGTGTCCTGCATGAAGAACTAGAGGCTTTCCTGAACTTTACCTTCCAGAGTTCTCCGTGCTTGGTTCCTGAGTGTCTGTGTGGAACACAGCTTCCTCCCAGCCCGTTCCCTCCACTCTCCTTATCCTGCACGGAATGTAAGACCCTCTATTCACAGAGATCTTAGCATTCTTGTCTTCCTGCAGTTTAGCCACACGGTTACAATACAAAGCACAAATGTAAGATTTTTGACTCACTACGCACTTTCAATTTTTTTTTTTTTTGGATCGGGTCATGGGGCTTGAACTCTGGGCCTGGGCGCTGTCCCTCAGCTCTTCAGCTCAAGGCTAGTGCTCTACCACATGAGCCACAGCGCCACTTCCGGCTTTTTTCTTTTTTGCTTATGTGGTGCTGAGGAGTCGAACCCAGGACCTCAGGGATGCAAGGCAAGCGCTCTACCACTGAGCCACCTTCCCAGCTCACTACGTACTTTCAATTCAACTGAAAAATAAAATAAACCTGTGGGATGAAATGTGATGAGAGGTTGTAAGGAAAAGCAGAGAGGGCATAGTGTCACAGGAGTCTGAAAGAAGGGGCAGAGCTGAGGGCTTGGAGATCCTGGTGACTTGGGGATTTTAGTGAGATTGATGTGGAATAGAACCCAGAGGGAATTTTCTACATTTTTTGGGGGGGGGCACTTTTCAGCCTTAATAGGCACATTGGGGAAATAATAGAAGCCAAAAGGAATGTGGTTCACAGGGTAGAGGACCTGCCTGGCAAGCACAAACCCAACTTCAATGCTGCGTCTCACACACATAGACAGCACAGTTGAAAATGCATCGGAGATGCCCAGCACTCCGAAGATGGCAACTTAGCAACTCACCACACAGCAGAATTTGGATGGGTTTATTCCCTGATCAATAGTCTGATGAGAGGCTGTGGGTCACTGCCCAGCCTCTCCAAAGAGGATCATACCACCTGCCATCAGCAAGGGAGAAGGCCACCATTTAAAAGTCCAAGTGTGCGTTCTACTGACTTTGCATCACTTTCATACCACCATTGTAAAGTAGAGAACTGCAGCCAAGCCATCAAATGACAGACTCGTTACATAGCTCACACAAACTGTACTCTGATTAAAAACTATTAAACAATGGAGCCAGTGTGTGGTGGCTCACACCTGTCATCCTAGCTACTCAGGATGATAGAAAATAGAACCTAAAAGAAATATAAAAAGGGAAGAGGAGGAAAAGCGCCAGCAGAAAGATCATTAGGAGTGTTTAAAAAAAACTGTGTACTCTCGTTTCCAATTTAATGATTGCGTCGTGAAAATTGCTCTCTTTTTACACAAGGCACACGCCATTTCAATTTCACAGGAAAAATAAAAATGGGACTGCACGCTGCCTTTGAAAAGCTGACTTTGATCAGATGCCAACTGGGAAAAGGCTGGATTTAAATTTTAAATTGTCTGCCTTCAGAAAGGCATGATAGAGGACATATTTAGGATGTAGCCTCTTAATTTAACATTAAACTTCCTGAAAAATGTCCTCACTGGTTATTGACGGCTCTGTATTCAAAAGGAGGCTTCTCTTCAATCTTGAGGAGTTGGAAAGACAGGTGTTTTCTCTCCTCTCTCTCTCTCTCTCTCTCTCTCTCTCTCTCTCTCTGCTTCTTCTGCTTCTTCTGTTTCTTCTGCTTCTGCTTCTCCTGCTTCTCCTTTCTTCTGCTTCTCCTGCTTCTCCTTTTGCTTCTCCTTCTCCTTCTGCTTCTGCTTCTCCTTCTGCTTCTCCTTCTCGTTCTCCTCCTCCTCCTCCTCCTCCTCCTTCTTCTGCTTCTCTTTCTGCTTCTCCTTCTGCTTCTCCTTCTCCTTCTTCTGCTTCTCCTTCTACTTCTCCTTCTGCTTCTACTTCTTCTGTTTCTTCTGCTTCTGCTTCTCCTGCTTCTGCTTCTTTTGCTTCTCCTGCTTCTCCTTCTGCTTCTGCTTCTCCTTCTCGTTCTCGTTCTCCTCCTCCTCCTCCTTCTTCTCCTCCTCCTCCTGCTTCTTATTCTGCTTCTCCTTCTGCTTCTACTTACAAAATTAAATGAAGCTGATTCATAAACGGGGTTGATGGAGAGCTATCCACTGGGAAGCTGTGTCCAGGTGCTGGTCGGCTAGGTCCTCTGTAAGGATCTGGGAAAGGGGTTGGCATGTAGGGGTTTCTCTGGGGATTGTCCTCAGGATCAGGTCCTTATGAGGGGCTTGGGATCCAGGATTGGGCAGAGGGAAGAGGTGAACTCTGTGGGTCCACAAAGACCTCAGCAGGTCTGTGGCAGTGATGAGGATGGGGTAACCCTCTGGAGACCTTCTTCCCTTCTCCTTCCATGAAGTCATTCATGACTGTCATCCCGTGAGGATGGTTACCCATGATCCTTAGATCAGGACCACGTTCGAGCAGGAGAAGCAACATTTCAGAATGGGTTGGCTATTACAGGAAGAGATGTAAGTAGAAGCATACATTTCTCAGGATAATGAAGGTATTTTCTTCTCAGAAAGTGCAGATGAGATCACCAACACCCTTGGCTTTATTGAATGACTACATCCATGATGGCACAGGCTTTTTATTTTTGTTTTTCTAAAAGGGAAGGTAGGTATTGACTTAATCATGGCCTCCTCTCTTTAGAGCACTATATAACTTTTGCAAAGAAAGGAAAACTAATCTTATTCTTTGTGTGTTTCCTTTGTGAGCAGCCCGATCCTTGGTCTTGGTTCTGAGGGCAAATTGGCCTGTGCTCCCTCGGCCCCATGAGAGGCTGCGTGCAGAAGTTGCTGAGAAAGACCATTGGGGAGTTGGGGCTGAATGTGAAACATTGTGGAGCAGCAAGGAAAATGCAGACTGCGATTATTTTTATCACTTACTTTCCAGCAGTATTTTACCTGATTTCCTGTCGGTTATGAACATGGAGCTCTCCTCAGACAAGAAGGTGTCTTGCACCTGCCAAGTTTTGCTTAAGGCAACCTTTTTACTGGAGGACTTCCATTGTAGAACATCTGGTTGTGTGTGCAGGGTGGTGTATAAACTGATGGTCTTTCATTGAGCTCCTTCACTCTATTTAGTTAGCTAAATGTGGGTTATCTAACTCCTCAGTTGTGGGAGCAGAAAGTAATAAGGGCAGGTTCTTGGCTTTGGGGTAGAGAGGGAACTCAGGGAGTCTCAGTTGCCTTACCACTTGAGTCATGCCCTCATCCCATTTTTGCGTTAGTTTGTTTTCTTAGGATCTCCCTTGGTCACAACTTTCTTCCTTCTACCTCTTGAGTAGCTGAGAGTCCAGGTGTGATGTACCATACCTGGTGCCAACTTATTGGGCTTTAACCTCAAAACCGGAAGGATAAAATATTTGGGACTCTATTTGCAGAGACACTTTTCCCATCAAAGAGATTTAAAAAGTACTCTAGATTGAGGTGTTCTAAGTATGGGCTTTGTGTTCCACCCCGATCTTGGTCAAAACCTGGAAAGGTAGGGCAGGATTCTGGGACCCGGATGAGTTGAGAGACCTGGCAGGGCACAGGTGCTCTGCTTGGAAAGTTCCTCCCCACACTGCTTAGTCCAAAACAGTAGCGTGGATGTGCCATGCGGTACAGCAGGCATCAGCCCCCACTACAGTGTTCTAGGATGCCCCAAGCTCGAGGCAGGCAGCGAGCGCTATCAAGTACTTCTCCAGCTCTTTCAAGGAAAACAGATATAAATTGAGAGAGAGCAGAAGACCCAAGGAGACATGGTGGTTAGGATAATGAAGAAAGAAATCAGCTTCACAGAACTTTTCACACGGGAGCCGAGGGAAGGCCAAGCAGTCCCTAATGGGAGGTTGGGTGCAGATGACTGGGGATCAGCAGCTGGGGCTAGGGACTAGAACTTTTATTGGCTGAACTTAAATGACACCACACTCACTGCCTACCACCACGTCTGGTGTTTTGACCGTGCGTAAGGGTTTCACATTCAACATCCATTTGGGGTGGTCTGATTGGCTGGTAACATCTTGTGCCAAAGAGCAAGGCTGAGGTGGCTAAGATGATAGTTTTAAAATAAATAAGAGGACGGAGGTTTTACACTCCATAGTGCTTTTCATTCTCCCCAAATGGACATCATTGCCCTTGTATCTGAGCCGATAGTCCAGGAGGGTGAGATTGTTTCTTCATATCTCCAATGAGCATACAATCATGATGCAACACAATGGGTAGGGCGGCCGAGGCTAGACTTGGCTCTGCCATCTTCTCCCAAACAGAGACCTGCTCAAAGCCACTCAGAGGGAGCAAGAAAACACTATTCTTTTAGTGGCTGGTCACTAAAGACCATGCGTGCTGTTTTGCTAGCTTGGTACAGCATTGCCTACTTGGTAATTGAGAAAGAAAAGCTGTTTGGTGGTCAGATGCCAGCCATGACTAAGTATTGTAGAATGACCACTGAACTAAGGCCTTTGCTTTGTAAGGCAGCTGTGGGGAGCAGGCCCTTCCCCAACCCCTCTCTCTTGCAGC